GACACGATGCAAAAAATGAGAAAATAAGCCAGTGAGAGAGGCCAGTCAGCACACACAAAGGGAGGCAGAGGCACAATGGGCTTTTGTTGGTGCTTGTACGCTCTTGTTGGGGAGCCGGGCAGGGGCCCGCGGTGCCGAGGGCAGGAGCCTGATGTTATCGGCCCCCAGAAATGCCGCCTGCAGCCCAGTGGCAGGCAGGGTCCAGACCGAAGAGACAGGCAACGGGGCCTGCTCAGTACAAACGGTGCTTTGAGTCTCTGGTAAACAGCCTGTGCCCCAGGGCGCAAATCCTTCAAAAGTTTGCCTGGGTAATTTCGTTTCATTGCAGTCTGGCATGGACACGCAGGCCCGAGCCGGAGGTGCAGGCGACCAGGCTGGCGAGCAGGCGGACTTAATGCGCTCGGACCGCAGGCTCCTGGGGGGGCGCACTCACTGTTTTCGGGGATGTGACCAGAAAAGGGTATGGCACCTTCCGGAAAAGGGGTTCAAGGTGAACACGCCACAGCCACTGGCAGTTTCAGGCCATGAGGAGGACGGGCGCAGCCAGGGTGACAGTGTGGCCTTGCTGCCACCTCCCATCCCTGGCTCCTGCCTCCTCCTCGGGGCCACCCCCAAAACACGGGGCGGGAGAAAGTCCCCACCCTTCTCCCTGATTTCAACTCAGGTCAGGAATTCGCAGTGACAGACCCCAAGTTGTGTTTGAGGTTTGGGGCTGTCCGGGCCTGGTTCCAGGGAAGGGAGACAACACTGGACTGAGGAGCCCCCCCGAGGCTCCGGACCCCAGATCCGTGAGCACCAGGCAGGGCGCTTGGTGGTCACTGCCTTTTCTGTGGAAGTTTGAATCAGTCTCTTCATTGTGTTGGAACTTGGTAACTAGATCGGGGGCTGGGATGGCTTCGATCTTCCTACAGTGAGAACCGCAGAGAAACCAGAGGTCAGTCCGTGCCCTCGCCGCCCTCCTGCTCTGTCCAGATGGGCCGGCCCCGCCCCACCCCTCCGAGGGGCTTTCTGCTCAGCCATCCCGCGAGGCTGGAATGAAACCGTAGGTAGACGTGTCGACAGCGATTTGCATCGCTATCTGGTTGCGTGTGACTCATGCCCGGGAAGCTCCGGAGAGACAAGCACCAGCCTGTCCCTTCCCAGGTGGCACAGCCAACGGTCAGCTCAGGAGACATCTTGTTGGCAGTTCGCACCTATGGCTCACCCAGGGCCTGGCATGCTGGCTCCGTGTCTGGGAGCCAGGCTGTGAGACTGTGATAACGTCACTGTCCCAAACCCTGGCATGGGGATAGTGTGTGGTATCCCAGGTGTGTGGTAGCTGCTGACGCCACCGGGCAGAAAGGTGGCCACCAGCCACCCTGCTTTCCCATGGGGCCCTGGGGCCCCAAGCATGCACCTTATCTCGGCTCCGAATTTGCTCTCTGCCTAGGCCACGGCACCACGTTCCAGTCCTCAGGGTCTGGGATACCTCTGGAAGTCTCGTCTTCTGGCTTGTCGTCAAGGTTTGACATGGTGACTGAAAACTGCTTGCCTGCCCAGCCTGGGCTCCCTCAGGCACCATGAACCTTTGGGGCCGGGTCACCCTATGGGGGGGGGGGGGGCGCTGTCCTGTGCACGGGAGGATGGCAGCAGCACCCGTGCCAGTGGCACCCCCCACACCCCAAACAGACGACCACAAATGTCTCCAGATACTACCCAGTGCCCGCCCCGGAGGAGCGCCGCCCCTGTCGAGCCCAGTCTGGGGGATTCACGAGGCTTCACGCACGGATGGGGTCGCAGGGCGTCTGCACCAGGTGGTGAATCGCTTCAGCCCTGAGCTCGTTCAGGTGTCCAGGGCCTCTGTTCTCAGGTGGCCATCCTCTGGTCGAGCAAGAGTTGCCAGGCATCTGTTATCTCAAACTCTACTTTTGATCTTTTTTTTTTTTAAATGCTTCCATTTTCGTCTAAGTCACGGGAAACCTTTTGCAATTCTGAGAAAGGCCTCCTTGACCTCCCGGATCACAGCGGCTCTGGGAGGGGGTTCCCGCGGCAGGGCATGGTGTCACCTTTCTCACGGTGACCTCATCGGCTGGAGTAGGCAGGCTGCGTGCGCCTGAAGTGCCCTTACTTTCCCTAAGTCAGTGAATGGAGCGGGGGACCTTCAGGTCACCCAAGGCCCACCTGTCACCCACAGTTGTGTGTGTGTGGTTTTCGAGCCGAGGTCCGTGTTGGAGTTTCAGGGTGAACAGACTTCCCCTTGCCTTCCCAGATCGGAGTTTGGGGCGATGTTCCTGTGAGAGGCTGGGCCGCCCCAAGATGAATCTGGCTCGACTGGTCTGTGTCCTTTGTTTGGAGCACCAGGGAGGAGCCCACGGAGGCGCGCCTGCCCCCACCTTCAAAGGTCTCTGTTCTGCTCCCCACTACCTCCCACCCCCCCGCCCCAGCAGCCTCTGTGATGGGTCCGTGGCAACCCCAACCTGCTCACACTGCGGTCAGCGTGAAATGGCTGCAGACCTGAGGGGAGAGGACCAGAGCAATGAGGCAAAGAGGGGCCCCCCATAACACAGGCCGCTGATCGGGGCTGCCCTGGCTCGCAGGCCAAGGAAACCCGATTACTCCAAAGAACCCAAAACTCGCACACGGACCTGCCAGCGAAGGAGGGGACAGTCTGGCCTCTTCTTCCTCACTCCGTTGCTGCAATGGGAAATCCAAGCAGCTTTCAAAAAACAGAAGTGTAAGGGAGCCTTTCCTTGGGGGCTTTTCAGCCTCGAGTGGAGACGCCTCGAGTTTAGGAAGTAAACAGACCCGACTCCGCCCAGAGTCTGTCTCCGGAGAGCAAGCCAGACGGTGGGTCCTCAGGACGTGGAGCGTTAGGAAGGAGGAGGGCGCCGAGCTCCAGGCCGCCTGCCCTGTGTCTCTCCGAGGCCACCAACAGAACAGGCAGAAACTGCGAGTGGCACGTCTTTTGCCTCAGTGTTGGGGGTGGAGGGCGCCTTGTGTGGAGAGCACAGGCGGCTACCTGGACCCTTCGTGGCTGCCGGTAGAGCGGAGCGGGGGGAGCAAAGCACCGCAGGCCCTGTGGAGACATTCCTCGTGTGCACACCCAGAGACCGTCCCCCCATATCATGAAGTTCAGGCATCGGAGAGGAAGGGATGGCCAGGGATCAGGGTGCTGGCCAGGGATCAGGGTGCTGGCCGGGTCTCCGTGCCCCTGGGAAAGACGAGGTGCCAGGGCTGCAGGAGGGGCCCCTCCTCGGGGGCCTGGGAGCCTGGGCCTGAAGCGTGGGAGAGGGTTCAGGGAGGGGAAGAGCATGACAGGACCGAGGGGACGGGGCAACACCTGGGTGGACCCAAGGGTGTGGACGCAGACACCCTGCAGCAAGCAAGCCGTTACGGGAGGGGCGGGCCCTCGGTGAGGGGGCTGCCTCTGCTTCCGTGTCCGGAAGTCCTTTTCTACATCAGGGCACGGAGTGGACACTCTTAAAGTCACCCTTCCATGCGGGCCCCCCCTTATGAGGAAAGAAGCAGGACCCAGCTGTCGCGGCCGCGATGCCGCTGCCTTGTGCCCAGTGGCCGAGTGGCCGTGGCCCTTTCTCTGAAGAAGGCTGGAGCCCAGCGGGAGGGAAGGCTCCGATTTCACTCGTGCAGTCTGGGACCACGCTGCTGGCACCCCCCACACGTGGGTTGTGAAACCACGCTGTCCCCAGTGAGCTTCTTTCTTCCCGGTGTCTCTGCAGAGCTGAGCTCCCCCCACCACCACACGGGGGTGCTGTCCAGTGTGGGTGAGAACTCTGCACCAGGGGGCGCAGAGCCGGTGGACTGGTGGACACAGCATCTTTTTCTGGCGTGTTGGGGAGGAAGACTGGCCCCGCAGGGGCAGGTAGTTCATTAACAGTGAGGGAACCCAGGGTGAGTTCATCCTCCCAGGTGGGGAAACTGAGTCTCGGAGGGGTGTAGTCGCCTGCCACAGCGGGGCTCAGTCCTCGGTCTCAGACTCCAGAACCTGCCAGTGCTGTACCCCCCCCCCAGGCTCCCCGAGGGACAGCTCCGGGGTGGGGCTCCCAAACACCAGCCACCGCAGCGCCAAACGTCTCTCTCCGTGGGGCCCTGACCCTGTGGTGCCCCAGCCCCGTTTTGCCTGTAACATCCCTGTGACATCCTGGCCTTGAGAGGGTTTGAGGCGCAGAGAGGGAGGGGGCAGAACATCTTTCCGTGGGAGGCGCCTGCAGTGGGGTTTGTTGAGCAACCTGTGGGGACACTATTTGTGTGCAGGAGGACAGAGACCAGAAGGTCCCTTCCCGTCCCCTGCAACCACGTCCCTCTAGCCGGTGCGGAGGGCAGGCTGCTCCCCCCGCCTCAGGGAGGCCGGGCCAGCGCAGAACGCAGGTGTGACCCCAACACCATCTTTTCTAGAAGCCAGGGACTTCCCCTGAACCCTTCCCTCCGGGACGTCTGTGCCTGAGTTCGGAGCATTTTTCCAGACGTGTCCCAGACGGGCCTGGCCGAGGGAGCGGCCTGCTGGCGAGGGCTGCGCCGTTTCCCCTGGGAACCGTCTGGCAGGGCTGATGAGCAAGGGCCCTGCATTTATAGAGCACCTTTCATCTGCGGCTCTCAAGGCGGCGCCCCAAACACTAATTAACTCTCACACCTGCGAGGCAGGTGAGGCTGCTGCCTCCACTTTCGGAGACGAGGAAAGAGAGGCTGGAGAGGGGAAGGGCTCTGGTGCGCCGCCCGCGTGGAGGCGGCCGTGCTGCCGGGAACCCCCGTGCCTGACCGCAAAGCCACGAGGCCTCCCAGGCCGGAGCGGAATTTCGGTCCCAGAGGCAGTGAGTGACGGAGGTGACCCCAAGGTCCCTCCCTTCGTCCCTGCGGCAGGGCGGCCAGTCAGCTGTGAGAACAGGTCCCTCCAAACCCTGAAGGCCTTTCAGAGGCAGGAGCCCCGGGCAGGTCTCTGCCCCGGCTTGGTGCCGGCTGCTTCCCTGCGGGGTAATTGCCGGAACAATGAACGCACGTCAGCTGCACATGACTAACCGGCCTATCTGCAGGCCTTGGAGACAAACGGCTGGCGCAGGCCAGAGCCTTTCCCAGCCTCTTTCTCCAGGACTCAGGGCCGGTGGGAACCGGCTCCTGTTATCCGGGGATGCCGCCGCTGACGGGCGCAGTGTGGTCCCCAGGGCCTGCCCACCCCCCGGGTGCACCCCCAGGGGCCGGCCCGCCCTGCTTCTGTGCCCCGTTGCACTTTTACTGCAGAGGACAGAGGGGAAAGGGTGCTGCGGAAGCAAGGGGGACTTTCAGGGACGTGCCTCTCTCAGAGCAGGGAATGACCTAACGCCTGGGCCGCGAAGGCTGTTTGTTGTTACATGAGTGTGAAGGTGGCAGTGAGGCATGGCAGGCGGGGGGGGGGGGGGGGTTGCTCTTGTGTTTGCAGGGAGCCCAGACCATCCCTCCCAGGGGTCCCAGGCGGGAGCTGCCAGCCACCCCTGGGGCTCGCCCTGACACATCGCCCTGGAAACTGACTCACATCTCTTGAGGCCTGAGTCACATCCTGTTGTGTGCTCCGGGGCATCCAAGAGGGCATGACACCAGCTACCCATGACTGAGGTGAACTTGGATGACACCCTGGGAATGGCCCTGCAGGCTTCCAGGCTGAAAGAGGGAAAAAAATTCCTCCAGGAAAAAACCAGGCAGCTCTGGTGGTTTACAAAGTCACCAGGCAGGTCAGCTCTTAGAACAGACACCCGGCCCCGTGGCAAACGCAACTGTCTGGTCTTCGGTGTTAAATGGCTCTGAAGGGTGACTGGCCGGGCTTTTAGAGATGCCAGCTGAAGAGCCAGAGAAAGGGCTGCTCACCGTGACAGCTGGGATGAGCCCCAGAGGGTCACTGCCTCCTGGCCCCGCACCAATGGACAAGGGCCCAGCTTGGTGGCACTGTGGGGTCCCAGGTTTGGAGGGGAGGAGTTGAAAAGCCAACAGGGGTGGTGTCAGGGAAGAGCCTGGGTCCCCAGCCAGCCTCTGCTGTGCCCTGCGGGACCCTGCAGACAGAGTAGGGCATTTTAAGCTCTTCAACCACCAGCCTTTGGTTTCACTGATTCTGTTGCTGTCCTATAATCCATTTCATGGATTCCTCCTGATATTTATGACTTTTTCTGCTTGCTTTAGTTTATTTTGCTCTTTTTCCCTCTACTTTTTAAGGCAGAAGCTTAGATTTTTGATTCTGGGTCATTCTTTTCTAAGAGAAGCACTTGGTGCTCCAACCCCTCTGATCACTGCATCTGCTGCAGTCTGCGGGTGCTGATGAGCTGGGTGTTCATTCACTTCAAAATGCATGTTAATTTCTCTTAGGCCCCTTACTTGACTCATGGGTTATTTAGAAGTGTGGTGTTGAAGCACCAGCTATCTTTCTGTTATCGATTTTTTTATTTCAATCCATGTGGTCTAAGAATATACTTTGTAGGGTTTCCATTCCTGTAAATTCGTTGAGGTGTGATTTATGGCCCAGAGCATGTTCTCTCTTGGTGAGTGCTCCCTGTGAGCGGAGAAGAATGCGTAACCACTCTTGTTGGATGGCATGTTCTAGGAATGTTGGTCAGATCAGACTGCGGGAGGACGGTCAGGCTGCCCTGCCCGCATCTTCTTCTACCTGCTCGAAGTGGCGATAGCTCAGGGGAGGGGGGGTGTTGACGCCGTCGTTTCTAACCATGCATGTGTTTCTTAGCTTTTTCCATGTAGTTCTATGCATTTTTGCCTCGTTTTTTTACCCTGTGTTGTTAGGTGTATGCATTTTAAAGATGGTTGTGTCTTCTTAAAGAACCAATCCCTTTAGCCCTGAGCTTGTCCCTTCTTCTGGAGTCAGGTTTATACAAAATCGCTACAGCCACACAGGCTTTCCTTTGTTTACTGCCAGCATGGTCCCCATCCCCATTCCTCTTGCCCAAGTCTTGAGGTCGAAATTAGGTTCCCTGTAGACAACACAGAGTTGGATGTTGTTTATGACTCACTCGGACAGTCCTCGTCCGCCGGTGGGTGCATTCACAGTGTTCACATTGAAGGTGATTGCTTATGTAGGTGTATTAACAAACATCAACTGTTTGTTCCCTATTCTGTATTTCTTGTGCCTGTTTATCCCCGCTTTTCTGCATTCTCTGGCTTTAACAGCATTTTATGTGATTCCATTTTATCTCCCCTCCTGGCATGTCAGTTATACTTTCTAAATGTTCTTAGTGGCCGCCCTGGACTTGCACACATGTGGACGATGACTGTGAAGTCACACCAATCACCAACACGGCTCCACATCTTCCTTCCCCTTTCTGCCACTCATTCACTTGTCCATACCTGACAGTTAGCAATACATTATCACTACTGTCATTGTGAACAGGAAATCATCGTTTGGATCAACGAGAATAGGAAAAATGAGAGTTCACTTTACCTTCGTTTATTCTTTCTCTGACACTCTTTCTTTCTTTATACAGACCTGAGTTTCTGACCCGTGTTATTTTATCTTTCCTGAAGAGCTTCTTTTAACATTTCAGCAGGGCTACCGCTGGATCAGTTACCTTCATTTTCGTTTGTTGGAGAACGCGCTTATTTCTCCGGTACCTTTGAAGGTTTGTTTTGCTGAGTACAGGATTCTAGGTTGGTGGGTTTTTCTTTCAGCGCCTTACATGTTTACCACAGTCTTCATGCTCTTGAAGTCTCTGAAGAGACGTCCTCAGTGATTCTCATCTCGTTCCTGTGATGTGCCCACTGCTCGCTCACTTCTGGCTTTTCTCACACTTTCCCTCCGCCCTCATGTTTCCTGCGCCTGGCACAGCAGGCCCAGGTGTGGGGGGCGTGGTATGTGGCTTGCTGAGTGTCCAGTGGGCTCCCCAGGTCCGCGGTTTGGTGGCATTGACCTTGGGAGATTCTCGGCCAATAGCTCCTCAAGTGTGTCTCCCGTTCCGCTTCCTCTTCCTTCTGGTATTTCCACTGCGCACACGTCACACCTTCTGAGATGGTCCCAGAGTCCGTAGATCTTCTGTTTTTTCCTTTTTCTCTTTGTGTTTCAGTACATTTCTGCTGACATATTTTCAAGCTCATTGTTTCCTCGGCATGTGTGGTCTACTGATGACCCCAGCAAGGCAGCCTCGTTGCTGTCACAGTGCGTTTCTGTTCTAGAATGTCCTTTTCTGTCTTCAAGGTCCCGTCTCTCTCCTTACGCCATCCATGTTCCCTTGCATGCTGTCATCTTCTTCTCCATCATAGTCCATATTAATCCCAGGTAAAGTCCCTGTCTGGTAGTCCCAGAATCTCCGTCCCACCGAGTCTGGTGTGACGCGTGCCCTGTCCCTTCACACTGTTTTCTCTGGCCCTTTCTCAGGCCTTGCCGCTCCTCATGGGGAAGCCGGACGTGATGCACCAGGTAAACAGGCCTTCGGTGTGAGGGGCCACGTCCATCCTGCCAGGAGTTGGGCTGTTCAGTGTTTGCTGTAGTGTAGGTACCAGGAGCTCCAAATTCCGCCCCCGTCCTTGTTTCCGTCCCCCCTGCTGTTGCTGGGCTCCCCTGAGCACTCCTCCTCAAGCAGCCCCGCAGCGCCTCTGGCTCCGGCCCAGGTTGTCACACTGGCTGCTGGAAAACCAGGGAGTTCCTGGGCGGAGATGCCAGGGCGGCGTCCCTGACGCACGTGCGCACACCAGACTGTCGCCCCTGGAGCGTCTCCTTCTCACACTGGATACACCCAGCCTCCGGCGGTCTGTCGGAGCTGCCAGTGCAGGGTCCCTGCCAGCTCGGGGCCCCACGACCTCTGCTTCCCGTGCGCAGGCCCCAGGGCGACTTCCTGTGACCACCGCCCCTCAAGACTTCAGGGGGCGATTCGCTCTACGACCTCAGCTCCCTAACAGACCCAGGAAAAGCCACGGATTACCAGTTGACTAGCTGTTTTTCATGGTAAAGATGGGAGTGCCGACTTTCACATGTCAGAGCAGAAGCAGGCGGCAGCAGAACACAGACGGGCCCTACGTGACAGGTGACTGTCAGCTCTGGAGGCCTGGCTGTCGCAGCGGAAGTCACTCGCTCTGTTCTCTCCTTGAGCATCTCCGTGCTCACCTCCGAGCTCACCCCACCTGAACCCCACTGGTCCCCAACCCCACCCCCTCTGACGGCATTTCAATGGGAGGGAGGGGAGCTCATGATGTGGGGGGGGGGGCCCTCTGTTTTACGCACTAATTGATCTTCAAAAAACTGGAAATAACTGCCACCAACTGGCCTCGGGAAAAGTGGCCACATCAAAACTTCACATTCCCTGGAAACACCCACAAGCGGAAAGGCTCTGATTTAAATGGCCCGGTCCGGTCCTGTTTTAGTGGGAAGGGGCTGGTGGAGACTGCATCCTCCCCTTATCCAGCCTCACCTCAAACCTCCCGTTTTCTTGGCTCTTTGCTATCTAATCTCTGCGGCCTTTATCTGGGAGCAGCCTCTTACCTGAGCCCCACCCTGGGGCAGGGGTGTGGCCTTCCGCCCAGCAGATACCAGTGAAGTCCCTTGGCCTGGAGTCCTTTCCCTTTCTAGTAACAGCCATAAAAGTTGGACTGACTGTGCATCCCAGGTGGCCTGGCACTGTGAGACTCGCTTTAAGGTGCTTCTCTCACCTGTGCCTCACTGCTGCCCTTTGAAGTAGGAAAACGACAGATCGCATTAGACGGGCGACGTGTGCAAGGCCGAGTAACTAGTGTGTGGTGAAGCCAGTCCAAACTGAACTCCTTCTGTGACTTAAAGGAGGGGCTTCCCCTAACTTGTTGCTCTCAGAGGCAGGCCCTGAGCACGTACCAAACACCACCCAGCCTCTTACCTGGGACCTGGGGACAGCTGTTTGCAAGTCCAGATTTGGCAGATAATCCAGCAGTTGGCCTGGACACAGGCCACGGGTCCCCCACTAGCTCCTACTCCTGGAAGCAAGGACTGTCTTCGTTCTCCACTGAGTCCCCAAAACAGTAGCCCTAGTAAAGCAAAATGTTGGCAACATTAATGAACAAGGAAATGAATAGCTTCCTGATCCTATGAATGAATGAATGAATGAATGAATGAATGAAGCAACTCTCAGCACAGGAGGGAGCCTTTCCAGGTGTCACACAGCCCTGGGGTGGTCAATCATACCAGACTGCTGGCTCCAATGGGACAGGGACCCTGCAGGTCTTGCTCCACAGGCTGTTACCAGCCAAATTAGCACACACGTGGCACCAAGCGAGTTTTCAATAGACTTCTACTCCTGCTGAGAGTGGGTCTCGTCGGAGGCAGTCCCTCCAGGAACAGCAGCCCTGCTCTCTGCGTGATGAGTGACGGCGATCGCTCCCCTGGGGGGCAGCTGCTTTGCTGGACTTCCCCGTCCCATCTTTGTAGCCTGCTCTTCCCAAACACTCCCAGCTGTCATTACAGTGCCATTCCTCAGCCCTCACCCCCCCTGCTGTGTGCCCAACCCTGCGCAACACACCAGTTCGGCAGAGAAACAGGGCCCGGGGCCCGAGTGAATTAGAACCCGGCTCCAGCACTAAGGGAGGGGCTCAGAGGTCATCTCCTGTCACAGATGAGAAGAATAAAGTGAAGCAAGTGATCCAGGGCCGCCACACAGACAGCCCCACCGCCCCTCACCCCCACTCCCAGTGTGGTGGCCCCGGCCCTGGCGTTTCTCCATTTGCTCACGTATGTGCGTGTGGGCCCCCTCAGGGCAGGAGTGGTTGGTCACTGCATTGTAGACTCAGCATGCACCCTGTTATGGGCCCTTTGCTTCTTTAAGTTTGGTTTTGTTTTTCACTGACAATACACATAAAAGATGAAAACACTCAAAAACGCGACAGGAAAAGCTCACCATCACCACCTCCTGGCCCACTACTGGCAACGAACCCAAGTGCAGCCGCTGCCACCCCAGGAGTGAAAACAGGTCGTGAAGACAGGGCTGGGGGAGTCCCTTGGGTGTCCGGCACTATCTCCCCTCCAAGGCCAGAAAGCCAAGTTGTGGTGTGAAGTGAGATGTTGAATCTCAAACCCCGCGTTAAAAAAAAAAATCATAGAACTTAGACTATAATCATAAAGATCGTTTTACCAAAGCATATTTTTAAAAGGCTGTGAAACATTACGCAACGTTTGCACGGCTTAATTATGCGTTTAGAACAGCCTAGCAGGACCTCTTCCCTGCAGTAAAACATGACAGAGCATGAAGCAGTCTGGTGCCTTCTGCTCACTGCGGCCTCCGATGCGGGGGGCGCGGGGCTGCCTGCATGAGGCCCCCCTGTCACCGAGCTGCAGTGCACAGCCCAGGGCCTCAGGACAATGGCAAGCCTTCTTTTGTTTGCTTTTTAAGTGATTAAAATACCTGAGGACTATAGAGTCACTTCGCAGGTGTGTGCAGCCAGGACGTAGGATGTCTTCCAGAAAATATCTGAGTGAACGTTTTTTTCCACTGGAGGCAAAATACTTGTAGTAATTTGGGAATTGTGAACAATCTGCTGTTAACTGTTTGCTGTCATTATGGGAACACTGTCGGCTGTGAGTGTGCAAACCTCTCACTGGAGTCGAACACGTATTTCCACGGAGTTCAGAATGGACCGGCTCTTACTCTTTGCCAGCTCTGCAAATTCTCTGAAGTTCAGAATCAAACGGAAACCTTACTTTAAAATTGTATTTCAAAGGGTCTAAGTGGAAACAGCTGTCCAGGTTTTTCACACTTACAAATCCAGTTGTTTTAAAGGACAGAAGGGCACAGGGCAGTATGTGGGGACGTGGGAGAAGGATGAGCAGGAAGCCTTGAGCCTCCAGCTCCCCACTCCGTCACAGACCTGGACGGCTGTGCAGAGACGCAGCCACGGCCAACTTGTTTGGAAACGGCCAGCCCCCGGAGGAGGGGCAGAGAGGGGTGTGTAGTCCCCAGGAGGAATAACTCAGTGCATACGGCAATCACACCCGGTATTTTCCCAAGGAACACTGTTCTTTCAATGTTTATTCCCAGCATTCCAAAGTCAGGACCAAGAGGACCCTGGGGAGTTAGTCTAGTTTGCTGTCTGCTTTGTCCACCAAGAAGGTGGGACCCAGAAAATTAAGGTTTAACCCTAAAGAAATGTAAAGTTATCTTCTTTACTAGTAGGACAGTGTTTGATCTAAATTTTTTTTCTTACATATTTTGCCTAAAAATAAAGGTTTTTTTTCTTCTTTTCATCCACAAACAGCACAGTGCTTTTGAAAACAGACTCCCACGAATGCTAGAATCAAATTTATAAAATCCTTTTCACCTAAATCTTCTGAAGTCTGACTTCTTTTGTCTCTTCTCCACCCTGGGCCTCTTCTAATGGCAACCTGTAAGATGCCTGCCCGACGTTCTGCCCGTGACAAGACACAGGACACCTCTGTGGGTCTGGCTGAGCCGAGAGCTCCCTGCCCCCGGGTCTGGGGACCAGGCACCGGCTGCCTCACCAGCCTCCCAACCAAACCCTCTTTTCTGCCATCCCTGCCAGAGAATCCACCCAAGTAGAAAACACTGAAAACCCTGTGGAATATTTTTGCCTAAAGTACAAAAAATTAAACTTCCATTCTATTTTACTTCCTGGGCACAGATGGACAGGGGGTCATCTGGGCTTATGAAATGGTTCTGATGGTGATAACTGTCAGTATAAAATGGTTCTGATGGTGACAATCTTCAGGGCTGGTCCAGCTGGAACAGCCCGGGCAGTCAACTCGTGCTGTGGTTCAACGTCCCCCCAGAAAGTACCCCCCACTCCTGTCGCTGTTAGGCACATAATTACATACAGCCTTCGCAAGGAACAGTTATCAGAGAGAGCGCTCCAAGAGTCAAACACGCACTGTATTTCAGGAGCTGATGGGAGAAATCATTGAGCGAGAGCAATATGTGGGCTTCAGCAGGCTCACTAACATGGGGAAACGGCGCACACACGTGTAACGTGTGGAAACAAGTGTCCAGTTTCTTTGAAACTGCTCCCCACTGACCTCCCCGCCTCTCTGCAGACACCAGGCAGATCCAGCCCTCCCCGCCGTGGTCCTACGATCAGTCCTACCAGTATCTGGGCTCCATCACCTCCCCTTCCGTGCACCCAGCGACGCCCATCTCGCCTGGACGGGCCAGCGGGATGACGACCCTCTCTGCCGAGATCTCCAGCCGACTCTCAAGTAAGCTGCTTGGCGACACACTGTGAAACTGGGCTAGAGTGGGAGGTTCAAGGGGCAGGAGGAGCACAGCGGTGGGCAGTGTGTGTAATGGATAAAGTGTGGCTGCGAGTCGGAGCTGGCCAGCTCCAAGTCCCACAGCCGTGCACCCACTGCCCCTGAGACCCAGAGGCAGAGTGGCCTGGAGACGTGGACTGCTTGGTGCTTTAGGGTTGTCTGTGCCTCACAACAGCGGGAGCTGCAGGGCTCCCAACGAAAGGGCAGAGAGGTCGGCGTCTGGCACTCAGATGGGACTGGTCCACCTGACGTGGGTCAGGTGGGCAGCAGCACCGCGGGTACTGGTGGAAGGGGAAGCACACACAGCCCAAATGAGACCTCTCCAACTAACTGCCGTCCGTAGCAGCTTTGAGGAGCTGTGTGGAAAGCTTGAGTGTCGTGGTAGTGCAGCCGTTGTTAGTAGGAGCTCATTAAATATTAGTCATTTCACCTAGAGACCTCCGGGCTTGGCCTTTGCTCCTGGGCAGGGAAGTCGGAGCTACAGAGAAAAATTCCTTTGTTGAAAGCAAAAGAAGAAACTCCATTTGGGGCTTTGAAATTGGAGCCGGACCGAACTGTGGAAACAGCTCAGAGTGCGTCAGCATTCTGGAGCCTGCAGATGCACTTCACGTGTGTCCACGGGGAGGGCAGCCGTTTTGCTTTTCTGCCCAGGAATCAGACTATAGCAGATTAGGGGGCAGAGGCGTCATGTCTGGCATTTTAGATGTTGTGTAACGCGGTGCTGGCCCGAGAGTTGTGGCTGTTTGCGATCTCACCCAGCACCTTAGCTTCTTCTCGGAGCTTCGCCACGGTGGCACCGTGGGCATTCGGGGCCAGGGAGCTCCTTGTGGGGTGGGAGCTGTTCTGTGCAGCACAGAGTGTTTGGCACCATCTCTGGCCTCTACGTCCCAGTAGCACCCACCCCCATCACAACACACACAAAGTGTCTCCAGACATCGCCAAATGTCCCGAGGGCCCAAACTGTCCCCGTTGGGAACCGCAGCCTTCAAGTATTCTCAGGTGCCGCAGGGAAACTGGAACGCCCACTCAGTTTCCAGGTTCTCACGTGATCTTTGGCCCTCGGTGCCAACATTTGCGTGGCACCTGCCGAGCCACAGAGCTGAGGCGGCAGCACGGGAGCTGGAACGTCCACCCGGCTTGTTGTTTCAGTTCTGTTCCCGCGGGACCAGTCTGACCCCAGCGGCACTTGCCAACTTGTACTAGCTCTTCTCAGGGAAAGCACTGTGCCTGCGGGCTGGCTGTGGTCTGGGACAGTTACTGTTGTCCTTGGAAGTGTCCCTGTTGTGAGTCTGTCCCTTAGACTTAGTCACATAAGTCGAGTTCTTCTGACCTGGTTGGCACCGGAGATCTGCAGCTTATTGTCCCAGAACCCTGGGGGCCAACCGCTGCAGCTGACCGGTGGTCAAACGGGAGGGTGACCATTTCTCTAAAGGGATGAGCACCCCCAAGCCCTGCATCCCAGTTAGACTTCCGAACAACCTGGACTTCAGGTGACCAAGCAGTAAGGAAGGACACTTTGTGGCAAGCGGGTGTGCAGTAGATGCAAACCAGGCCCCATTCCCACCTGCCTCTGCTCTCAGAGGGAGGACCGGAGGGAATGGCAGAGACCGGCCGGGAGACGCTTTTCAACGCAGCAGATTGGCCTCTGGGGCACAGAGCCCGGGGCACAGGCCCGTCTGCTGTGGGCAGGAGCAGCCAGGACCCATAAAGCAGCTGCCTGGCCCCACTTTTGGCCCAGCTCCGCTCAGGGCCTGCTGGCCCCTCTGACCCTGCCCCCAGGCCTGCACTCTGCCCGTTGTCCAGTTCGCAGCCCACCTGGGCCGCCTTCTGCAAGGAGCACTCTGTCTGTCTCTTTCCTTTGCAGACAGACCCCACACCTTGTCTGAAAAGAGTTGTCATCTGGAGGTTTTCTTTGCTTCTTTCTTTTTTTAAAAGAAATTAATGCTCAGCTGCCAACCTGGGCGACAGACAGCACGCATTATCCTGAGTCATGCAGAAGGTCCTCTTCGGGCAGCCGTTATTGCTCAGGCTGTGTAACCCTTTGGGGGCAGTGGGAGGGGCCCGGAGCAGCGCTGCTTTCATCCACGTCAAACTGTGGAATGAAGACTTGAGCTGTCACAGCAAATGTTGAGCCCCATCGGTGGGGAAACATTTCCAACTAAAATACCTGAACCTCCTAATCCCCAGATTTCCTACTCTTCAAAAGCCCCCTCCACCACACTGGTATTGAACACAGGGTGCCATGCCAGCCAGAAGGACCAATGAGCTGCCCCAGGTGTGTAACTGGCGAGGTTCAGTAGGGGTATCAGACTGGACAATAAAAATGAAAACAAGTATTTAAATAGATCATTTGAATCTGAGCACATCTAAAGGGCTGAAGTTGTCTTATTCTCAACATGTGTGTAAAAAGGATAATTCGACCACATGAATGGTCTTTCGTAGAAGGACGCTGTTGCCATGTAGACAGCAGGGGAATCACAGGCAGGATTTAAGATCTTTCAGATATTCACCCACAGGTGAAAACTGCTCATCCCCGGCAGCTGAGACCACAGCATCCCATTACCATGTCCATGACAAACCCTGGGCTCGCTCAGGGTTCCAGGAATGGGTACTGTCACCAGGCCAGCACGCAGTAGTTGGGACAGACTGACAGAGGCTGTCCAGAAATCACTGGGAAACAGGGTGACCTTTCATTCATTTTCCAGTGGGTTTACCTTTTTGTCTCAGGGCAAATGAAGCAAGAGGAGTGGTGGGCGGAGTCACTCGCTCAAGTCCAGAGGATTGCATCAGATGAAAACAAATTGATTGTATTTGCCTAATGCTTTTCCTCCTACCTCAGCTGCTCCCTAGTCTACATAAATCTTCCTGGAAAAACAGAGTAAAGCTTCCTGTTAACTCTCAAACATGTCACAGCTCCATGCGAGCAAAAACAAGTGACACACAGCTTGCTCACAGATGGCCCCAGTGAGCGGGCAGGGACCAACCCTGAGGAATGGGGTGTGGCCTGGCTTCGGCCCAGACTAGAGAGGGAGCGACCGTGGAAGGGCAGCCCTGGGAGCCCGGTCAGTACGGCCTCTTTCTTCCCTGGCCGCAAGTCTGACTCGCTTAGAAAAGATTAACAGGACTGTTTGTGTACGAGTGAGACTCCTGGTTTCCTCATCAGGGCAGAGATTTGCTGCAGACTCCGCTTGTTTCCATAAACTTTCATTACCTCTCTGATGAGAAATATATGCCCTCATCACATTCACTCCAAATTTACAGAGGTCATTTTTAAAAAACGTGTTAGAGCAATAAAACACCACTGGAGGGTGGGAGCAGGGAGTGGGCGAAGGGAGAGAGGGAGACACACTCACGTTGTCTGCCTGGAGTAACAGGCTTGAAATATGAGGCAGTTGATCAAGGGCCGTTGCCGCCCTCAAAACAGATTAGTCCATGCCAGTAGCTTTCCTTTCACAGCGAGCTTTTGGCTGCTTCTGGTTTCTCCATCGGCCTGAACACCAGCGGTCACAGGACACATGCCATCCTGCACTTGGAGTTGTTCTGTATGTTGATTTGAGAACTTACTGATCTTACAGCACTTGGTCCTTGCCTCTGCTCTGTCTCGTTGCTGTCTTCAGGTTTCCTAAGATAAAGACCAGAGCCCTGGCCTGATCATTTCATAATTCTGAGAAAGAGAAACTACCCCAGAACACCCTCCTACACCTACAGTGTTGGTTCTCCAAGGGGCGTGGGGAGTTGCGCCCCACCCCCAGGGCATCTGGCGATGTCTGGAGGCGTTGCGGGTTACGACAATTCCCGGAGTGGGGCACTGCTGGAGCTGGGTGTGCAAAGGCCAAGGGTGCTGCCAAGCGCCCTACAATGCCCAGGGTAGCCCTCCACATCCCGACAAGCAACAGTCTGGCCCCAGAGCGGTCAGCAGGGCCACTTCTGGGAAACTCTGACCGAGAAGGCACAGGAAACCCTTCCTGGCGCCCAGAGCCCCGTGGCTGCCAAGGGCAGCCTGTGGTTAAGAAAACCACACGGGGATGCCCATCCATGAAACTGTAAGTGCAGAATTCTAGCAAGGTGAGTTTTATGGACGAAGTTTTGCCATTCCTGGCAAAATTTCAACATGTGCAAAAATGGAGAAGATCACTCACAGTCCGGCAGCCACTCATGTTAACAAACCAGCGAAGCACATACTAGAGAGCACCAGGCGGAATTGAGGCTGAACTGTTTCTTAAAATGTGTACCTGGTCAGAGGCAACCATGGGGAGAAACTGGCGGCGGTGGCGTCCACGCGGTCACCACTATGGCATGCGGAGGCTGACTCACAGGAAGTCGGCAACTTTGAACTGTTTGCAGCGCTTTGACATTGCAATGGACAATTTCCTGTGATTCAACCTAAATGTTATGTGTAAGGTATTGTAACTGTTGTTACCTTTTAGTATTGTTATGATACGATATCATATTATACATGACATATTCTATGAACATGAACTTATTAATGCATTCATTACATTTGTCAGTAATTTATAGTGTTATATTATCAATTGTATATTGCTAATATCAGAGTAAACTTAATATTAATAGTGGTGCACTAATATATTAATTATCTAGCGGGTTGGCCAACTATGCTCTGTAGAGAGCCAGAAACTAGATTTCTTCACATTCCAGGGCCCTAGCGCCTGTGTCACCACCACTCAACCACGCAGAGGTGACTCAAAAATAGCCAGAGACAATACATAAACGGATGCGTGAGGCTGACACCAATAAACTGTATGGATGGCCCCTGAAATTCGAATCTCATATAATTTTCATATCAGGAAATGCTCTTCTTCTGACTTTTCCCAACCACTTAAAAAAGGAATCCTCAGCCCTAGCTGGCGAGCCTCAGGAAAATTGGCCCCGCTAGATTTGACCTGGGAGCTGCAGTTTGCCGACCAGGATTAGAGCACTGTTAGGTCTGTACTACACGCGTTCCATATTATGTCTATATGTATTATACCTACAGTACATCTGCATTATTACACACTGTGTTATAGATCATATCACATTACCTGAGAGCATACATCATCCTCTATTACTATGTATGATCACACGATCTCCCTGGACAGCAGCGTTCTGGGAAGTCTTCAGCTTCCCCTGGCCAACAGTTTTCGGCCTAGTTCCCCACCTGCCCCAGAAGCTGCATTCTGGGTTCTCCTCTGTCTCCCCGGCAGCAGCATTCTGGGAAATCCGTCCGCCAGGACAGCAGCATTCTGGGAAATCCGCCCACCCGGGCAGCGGCATTCTGGGTAATCCGCCCGCCTGGGCAGCGGCGTTCTGGGTAATCTGTCCGCCTGGGCAGCAGCGTTCTGGGTAATCTGTCCGCCTGGGCAGCAACGTTCTGGGTTCTCCTCTGTCTGCCCAGGCAGCAGCATTCTGGGTTCTCCTCCGTCTGCCCTAGTAGTGGCATTCTGGGTAATCCGTCCGCCCGGGCAGCGGCATTCTGGGAAACCCATCCGTCCGGGCAGCGGCATTCTGGGAAATCCGTCCGCCCGGGCAGTAGCGTTCTGGGTCCTCTTGCAACTCTCTAGCAGTAGTGTCCCGGTTCCGCTCTGCGTTCCGGGGCAGCAGCGTCCTGGAACCTGCCCCTTGGCAGCTTCCCTGAGTTCCCGTCTCACGTATTTTCCTGCCCCACAGCGGCTCCCGACCTGACGGCCTTCGGCGACCCGCGCCAGTTCCCGGCGCTGCCAGACCCCCGGATGCACTACCCCGGCGCCTTCACCTACTCCCCGACGCCCGTAACCTCGGGCATCGGCATCGGTATGTCGGCCATGAGCTCGGCCACGCGCTACCACACGTACCTGCCGCCGCCCTACCCCGGATCCTCGCAGGCGCAGGGCAGCCCGTTCCAGGCCAGCTCGCCCTCCTACCACCTCTACTACGGCGCCTCGGCCGGCTCCTACCAGTTCTCCATGGTGGGCGGCGAGCGCTCGCCGCCGCGCATCCTGCCGCCCTGCACCAACGCCTCCACGGGCTCGGCACTGCTCAACCCCAGCCTGCCCACCCAGAGCGACGTGGTGGAAGCCGAGGGCAGCCACAGCAACTCGCCCACCAACATGGCGCCCGCCGCGCGCCTGGAGGAGGCCGTGTGGCGGCCCTACTGAGCGCCCGCCGGACACCGGGCCTCGGGGTGGGACCAGGCGCTGGACCTGCCACCCCACCGGCCTCCCGTCCGCGCCTCCCAGTCTGGCCCTTCGTCCATCCGTCCAGGCACGTGGCCCCACTGCGGGCAAACAGGAAGATTCCAGAGGGAAACTGTGAATGCTTCTGATTTAGAAATGCTGTGAATAAAAGAAAGATTTTATACCCTGACTTCACTTTTTAACCAAGTTGTTTATTCCAAAGAATGGAATTTTAGTTGGGGATGGGGGGGTAGGGGCAGGGAGAGATGCAACTCATCCTGTTTGGTGTCAAATTCGTATTTTTAATGTTACTTTCCAGCACCTTATAAATTGCAAAATGCATATTTGCATTTGGGGTGGTTTTTATTTTTATAAATATATATATATATAAATTTGAGCTTGCTTCTTTCTTGCTATGATAGTTGAAAAGTACGGTTCCTTTTCTTGTATGTTTTATTTAACTTTTCATTGGGACTTTTGTGTAGCTGTTTTTCTTAAGAAACAGCTGCAGCTTTGGGTCATTTTCAACTACTGTATTCCCACAAGGAATCCCTAGATATTTATGTATCTCGATGTTTAGACACTTACTTATGTGTTGATACTTTTTTTATTTAAATGTACTTATATTAAGAAGAAAAATATTAAGTACTACATTTCTTGTTTTTGATAGTAGCCAAAGTTAAATGTATCACATTGAAAAAGGATGGGTAATGTGATCACTTGGTTATCTAAATATTGTTTACATTAAACTTCCTTTAAAGTTCATCAAACGAGTTGGTAGCTAATGCAGCAATGTTTTTAACAGGCTTTTTAGCTACCGAGGGTCACTCCAAAGATTTGAAGTTCGGAGTTTTCTGCCAAGCTCAACAAAGTGTCTCCTACCCGACTCCCTCCCTTCGACTCTGGTTCCTGAAGGTTCAGCTGATGGTGGCAATGGCCCCTCTGGAGAGGATTTACTTCCCGCCAAGGGCGTTTGCTCTCTCGCTGGCCTCTTGATAACTTCAGACAGGCTCTGGCAGAGAACAAATCCAAAGTCAACCGGTGGAGAAGCAATACCAACCTGGGAACCAAATGTATGAAGTTACGGGTTCCTTGAATGCTGGGTTCTAGGGTAGGAAGGAGAGCTTCTGAGTTCAGAGTTCAGGTTTTTAGCTCCAGGAAAATACTCTCATGCGGCACCTGTTTGTTTACGCAGCGGGGAAGGGACTAGACTGGGTGCCTTTGACGTGGAAGGTCTCCCGCCGAGTTTTCCCAGGGTGGGTCCAGCAGCAGGCTGGGACAGGCCAGTTTCCCTCTGTGCCCGGAGTCACGTGGGACAGCACCTGTCCCACCTGAGCAGGACCCATCCCCTGCTGCTCCTGAACCAGCAGCACCTCTGCATTGCTTTCGCCAGGCTGAGATCCCACCCTGCAGGGGAGGGTGCACGTTGGCCTGATGGGACAAGTACCTGTCACCACTGCTGCCATGGCTACAATTCAAACATACCCAGTGTCACTGTAAATTTTATGGCACTATTTTTTTGGAGGATTTGGTCAGAATGCAGTTGTTGTACAACTCATAAATACTAACTGCTGATTTTGGCGTGTGTGCTCAAAATGATCTGGTTGTTATTTAATGTACCTCTTAAATTAGATGAAATGATTTCAGGTCAACTCTGAAGAGTATTTGAAAGCAGGACTTTAGAACAGTGTTTGATTTTTATTTTATAAATTTAAGGATGCAAATTAGAAAGATCTTTGGCTGCAGGCAGCAAAACAGCTGAACTTATTTAAAACAACTTGTTTTTGAATTTTCTTATATATCCAGGGGTGGGCGAGGCAGATTTACAGTTGTGAGTACGTGGAACAGAGAGTTTATTCTTGTATTATTATTTATTAACTATTGTATTGTTTCCCATACAAACAACTGCAGACCCACTTGGCCCGCCCCTGTGCATATTCTTTGTTTTACGTAGATGCAGTAGCACTTTGGTGAGAGGGAGGAGCAAAGCGGCTTGTGATGTCAGGTCACAGTCTTCTAGGAAAGAGCTAACACGGATCTTGGAGAAACTCAATATATTCATGTTCATTTTAGACAGTTCTTCCTCCACGATTCAATTTCATGTTTTATTCTGTATTACATTTTTTGCAGCAAAATTCTCTTTGTCATTTAAAAACTTTCTGTAAAGAACCCTTAGTCCATTTACCCCAAATTCAATGTAAATGTTTTGTTCAGCACGTGTTGCCACATGTGACCTGACAAAAAGCTGGGGGAGAAGGGGTTGGGAATGAAGGAAAAACTTGGTTTTTAGCTCAGTTCTGGGACCTGGAGGTATTCCGACTCAGAATCAGCCCAGGGCCCTACAAGGGACTCAGTCGGGTCATCCTTCCCGTTGAATCCTCCCTCTCACAGCCATGTGTGCAGGGGGCTCGTCACTCTGGTGTTGACCCACCAAACTCGGACGGCGTGGCGTGCCACGTTTCCCAGACCCTCACCGGCATATGTGCTCTTTAGTTGTTCCGGAAAAAGAGAAATCAAAGTTGAGTTGTTTCGGAGATCGGTCTCGCGCTTCATGCATTTTTCCCGAGGAACTGCATTCACCGTGTTCCGATACATGGAGGCGGCCCTCTCATCGGGGAGACCCTTCTGCCGATGACATAAAACCCAGATGATCTGGCAGCCCTGGTCCAGGAGAATAAAAATGAAATAGGCCGTCTCTGTTGCTTATTCAGGCCCTTATTTATAATTAAAACGTGGACATGGAGTTCATTTCAGTTTTTTCTTTTTCTCGCTGTCCAACACCACTTCCAGTTCTCTCCCACTCCCCCGCCTCCCTTTGTGTTGGGAGACAGCTCACACACCCCTGCCCCTGCCCCCCACGGCATGTCCACAGCCCCAGGAGCGCCACCCCCCCCCCCTCCTTTGCACTGAGGAACACCATGAGTCAGCTTTTTCCTGCTGCTGGGTTTCTCCCTGGAGCGGAGGCCTTGCCAGCCACCTAGGATCTGCTCACTGTCCTAGCTCAGTGACGGAAGCCTTCCCTCCACCAGGGACAGTGAGGGGGCGCACAGCCTTGCTGCTGCTCCTCTCCCGTGCAGATAAACAAAGGCGCTGACGAGAAAGGAAATGAACGGTTTTATCCAAAGGTCCTGCAATTTCGGGTTGCAGATTTCTGTCCTGAAATACCTGTTTGCCTGGGACATTCGGTCCTGGTGATTTTCAGGTTTGGTGGTTGGTTTTTTTTCCGGGGGAGGATGTGTTTAGGGCCTTTTACACATCAAAAGTCAGTTTAACAATAATCTCAGAAAACATTTTTTATATTTAAACAAGTTGCCTTTTTGTTTACCTACAGTATATAACTGTTTGGGGGTTTTGTTTGTCTGTTTTTTGGAGTTTTTCCTCTCCCCTTAGCCAGGTCAGTATTGATGAGGCTGATCATTTGGCTTTTTTATTTCCTTCCGGAAGAGTTGCATCAACAGAGTTAATTGTATTTATGTGTGTAAATAGATTTTAAGCTTCATTATAAAAATATTGTTAATACCTGTAATAACTTTTTTAATTTTTTGTGTTTCTAAGAACTTTTTCTTATGTTTGCTCAGTACTGTAGACAAAAAAAAAGCTTCTTTCTACTTTGTTTATTTTAGACTTTCAAATGAGCTACTTTTTATTCACTTTTGTAATAATTCCAATTTTTTTAATTCACTCTTTGTTTTAGGAGACATGAATGTGCAAAAAAAAAAAACTGTTGGTTACTTGTGCTATTCTGGATGTATAAAAGTCAGTGAAAAAAATAAACGTTCACATTGAAATGACAGTAGAACACATCTATTGAAAAAGTACCTAAGGCCAACGCGGCCCTACTTGGCCGGGCCCCGCCTCCTGGCCACGGTGCGCCCGCGCCGAGGGGCTGGGTCAGTCCGCAGAGCACCCTGGAGACCTGGGCCCTGTCTTTCTCCCTCTCGCAGGCCTCGCACGCCTCCCGGAAGGGAGCTGCGTGTCTTGCGTTTTAGACCAGACAGATGGGATTGGAGAGGGCGCCCCATGAGCCCCTCTCGGAGGTGTTTCTAGATAGCGCGTGGGGGGGGGGGCAGGTGCTCTGTGGTCCGAGGGCCGCCTTCCCTCCTCCCTGGCGCTCACGGTGCTCAGGGTGCAGTGTGTCCAGCCCATGGCTGTCGAGCACTCCTCGGAGCCTCACTTTCTCTGTACCCCAGTATCTTCTGTAAATCCAATATTAGGACTATGATGGCAAATAAACAATTTGCAAGTACGCACATCAGACCGCACTGGTTTTGTCTTTCTCTGCCCTGGAGGGCTGGACCAACAAGCCCACGTGGTAACACCAGCGGCACCGCCATTCACAGGGCCCCAGGGCCCCGGCCAAGGCCCAGGCTCCCGGGGTGCACCCTTGGGTGCTGAGGAGCGCTGAGACACACTGCAATGCTTGTCTTTGAAACAGAAAAGAAAAAAGGAAACAGACTCACATGGGCTTTGCAAACCCAGAATGGAAAAGGTCTGCGTTCACCCTGGGGCCAGTCACCCTCCTCCGCCTCCAGTTCTGCAGACGCAGGAGGCGGCCTTGAGTAGGGGTAGGCAGCTTTGAAAAGAAGTACTCTCCTCCCCGCCAGCCCGTGCAAATTATTAGTAGTATTTCAGTCCCAAGACTGCTACCTGAGTTAGCTCCCAGCCAGACACCACCGACTAAGGCTCTTTGCCAGGTCTTGTCCTAGCCGTCTCCTGGTCCTGGGCGCTCTGCGCAGCACCCACAGAGTGTCAGGAGCCAAAGCAGGTGGGATCAAAAGAAATTACTGGCGTAGGAAGTCACGGCTAATGAGCAAAGGCAGGAAGCGGGCGGCAGGACAGGTTATCTATGTTCCGAAAGGAAGCCCGGGGGAGCAGCTAAAAACCAGTCCCCAGGAGTCGGGGGGGGGGAGCCCCAGTTCTGTCTCCCACAAGGGAACAAATGAGACTAGTGCCCCAATTTTCCTCCGCTGTGAAGTAGAGACGATACCATTTTCAGTTACAGAATTTAAATAAGTTCATGCATGTCAAACACCTTAAAGAGAGCTTGGCACATAACATGTGCTCAGTAAATGTTAAATGCACACAGTGGGACTACTCATTAAAAAGGTAAACAGTGCCACATGATCTCACTTGTGTGTGGAATCTAGTGAACCAAGTCATTTAACAACAACATAGAAACAGACTCATAGGTACATTGAACAGACTGACAGCTCTCAGAGGGAGGGGTTGGAGGGAGTAAGTGAAAAAAAGGTGCAGAGATTAAGCAAAGGTGTGTGCGTGTGTGTGTGTGACACAGGCATGGATAGCAGTGTGGTGACGGCCAGAGGGAAAAGTGGGGGAGGGGTGGGGGAGGGGTGTGGTGACGGACGGGGGAGGTGGCAGGGGGAAGGGGGACAGGCGGGACGGAAAGAGACCTGACTCGGGGCCACGGGTGCAGGAGTGTGCAGACGGCGTTCCACTGAGTTGTGTCCTTCCTTGAAGCCTGTATGGTTTTGTGAACAAATGTGCCCCCAATACATTCACTAAAAAATAAAGATAAAAAGGTAACTGGTACCACATAAAAGTTGGAACGTCTTCCACATCTTCCGAACCCCGCCTTGCTGTGACTGCCCGCTGTCCCGAGTTCCCCGTCCCAGACTTATGTCCGTACCCACAGTACACGGCGCGGTTTACCTGCCTTCTGCAAAGAGGCACAGCGCTCCCCTTCCCAGACAGGGTGCCGGCTTCGGATGGGCACCCAAGTCCACGACCATGCCCCCCGCTCCCGCCCCTCTCCGGACGGGCATGAGGCTGCCCTCTGGGTCTGGCTGCTACAACAGCCCTCTGCATGTATCTTATGCTAGAACTGTACATTTAAAAGCAACTGCTGGTTCCAAAAAATTTTACATTTTCACAGATTGCTCTTTGAAAGGGTTTTATCGAATTCCATTTCTAGGGTCAGGGCCGTGTACTAGGAAGAGGAAGCCAGACAGGTGCTGGGTAGATAGGTGCTAGGTTATCACTGTGTGGAGCGGGTTTTCAAACCAGACCATGTCAGAGGCAGAGAGGTGCTCAGAGTCCGTTGGCCCGAGGAAGAAAGAACGCCAGCATGCTATTATTAAGTGCTGCTGCAAGCCACACTCTGGCTTCGGTGCCTCACGTAGGCGGGCTTACTCGGTTCTTACAAGGGTCCTGGGTCCCGTCCTGCAGGTGAGGAAACTGAGGTTCAGTGAGGCTCAGTGAGCCACCCATGTGGCCGCAGCTCCTGGTGGAGGAGCAGCAGTGTGAGCCCCGGAAGCTGGCCCAGGACACCCTAGTTTTAACGCCTTTCTGCACTGACGCTCAGGGCAATGTTAGACATTCATTGAGGATGAGAGAGTTGTCTACACCCTCGAGGGTGGCCTCTCTTTGAATACTACCCCCTTCCACCCAGTCTGACAGGCAGAAGGGAGAGGTGGCTGTGTGAGAGTTTCTGGAAAAGGGGGCTGGAAGGGCTTCAGAGTTCATGGTCACGGAGAGGTTGCAGGTCACAAGCCCCCACCCCCCTGCTGGTCTAAGGGTGCCGGGCCCGGGCGGTGGAGTGGGGCCCGGGAGCCGTCCTCCACACCTTCCCAGCGGTGCTCTCTGCTCATTTACTTTTCACCCATAACCTTTAATTTTTAGAAATGTTTTAGATTGATGGGGAAATTAAGAAAACACGACCTCCTCTAGCACTGATATCGGAAACGTTAGTGCGGTGCCTTCGCAACAATCAGTGAGCCGGCGTTGATGCCTTGATACTCAGCAAAGCCCACGGTTAGTTTGCGTGCCCTTGGTTTTCACCTCCTGCTCCCCTCTGCTCCAGGTCCCACGTGACAGGTAGTCGTCGCATCTCCTTGCGCTGCGGTTGGCCGTGGCGTTTTCTCAGCCGCCCCTTGTTCCAGAGGCTCCTGACGATTTTGAAGAGCACCTGTGGGTTGTACTGTAGGGTCCGCCTCTACTGGAATCTGTCTGGGGTTCCTCCAAACCAGACCTGGGCGAGGAAGAGCCCAGGGGTAAGTGACACAGAGCGTCACTAGTGTCACACCCTCTGGAGGGCACACACTGTCCACAGGACTCGTGTTGGTGTGGACCCTGATCCCCTGGGGGGAATGACGTTTGTTGGCTTCTCCTCTGTGCGGTGACGCTTCAGTTCCCCCTTTCCTTACTGCACTCTCTGCAAGGAAGTTGCTACGCCCAGGCCACACTGAATTAAGAACTAGGGGACCAGGCTCTCTCTGCCTTCAGGAGGCAGGGGGCCTTGGCAGAGAGCTGGGACAGCCCCCGGGGCCTCCGCCTGCCCTGCGGGGTGCAGCAGCCAGGTGCCCCCCACCCATGGGAAGCACTCTCTCTGCTCCGGGTCCTGAGCTGGTCCTCCCTCCGTTCAATGCATGAGCAGTGGGTCTCCGCCCTGCAGCCTAGAAAATTCAAAGGTCCAGGGTTCTAGAAGCAGCCCCACGGTCCCCGGTCACCCTGGCCCCACTGCCTGCTGTGTCCCAGCCGAGCTGGCCCTGATGCCCCAGATGGTGCCGACAAAGTCCTCACAGAGTTTCCAGATGTGGCTCAGGAGGCCGAGTAGTCCCCCCACTCGGTTTGGGGGGGGGGCCGTTGGCTGAGCTTCACCTCCTGACAGGAGAGAACACCCCACGGGTTTGCTCCCGTCCAGCCCACTCTGTGTCCGCAACTCCCCTTCACCGGGGTCCCCGAGTCCTGGACCCCAGGCCCCCAAGGGAATGCCAGGGCACAGATACCTCCCCGACCCCGAGGGGCTTCTCCCCCCGGGCTCTGCCGCCTGCCCGGCAGCTCAGGAACCGGGTCCTCGGGCTGGCTCCCGGACGGAGAGGAGGGGACACGCAGCACATTCACTGCCCAGTGGGCGGCGGGTCCGTTCGTGCCCAATCCAAATATTAGCAATTAAATTTTGCCTCAAGTTGTCCCGTTGGTTTCCATTTCATTGAGGCGGTTGTAAGGGGTAATTAATGTTCGGAAAGTGTTTTGAAGATGAAAAGTCTTACAAACATACAAAGTGTGATTTATTTGTCACAACAAATAACTCTGTGCGGTCACCGTCTTCCCTCTCCTCAGCCACTATGAGAGGTTTCCGTAGGCGATTAGAAGCTGTGAGTCTCTCTCTAAAAAAGTCCCCATTTATCCAAAATGTATTCGGTGACCTTGAAAAAGGCCTAGTCCTCTCCGCCAATGCAGTTGGCGGACCCCCAACCAAAGACCAAGTCACATGTTGTGGGTCAGATGGCGTATTCATTTCCAAGGGCTGCTGGGACGAAGGACAGCAAACTGGTGGCTCAGGACATCTGAGATGTGTTGTCTCACTGCTCCAGAGGCCAGAGTTCAAGGTCGAGGTGTTGGCAGGGCTGGTTCCGCATGGAGGCTGCGAGGGAGACTGTCTCCAGGCCTCTGGGCCTCCGTGTTCGCCCCAGTCCTTGGTGTGCCCTGCCTTACAGACGTGTCCCTGAGGTCTCCGCCTCCTTCGTGAGGATGTTCCGCCCTGTGGGTCTGTGTCCAGATGTCCCTGTTCTCGTGAGGACATCACTCAGTGAGGTAGGCCCTGCCACTGATCATTAACTTGATCACATCTACAAAGACACTATTTTTTTAAATTTATTTATGAGGGGAAGGGAGGGAGAAAGAGAGGGTAAGATACATGGACGTGAGAGAGAAACATCCACCGGTTGCCTCTGGTACACGCCTCTCACACAGGCCCCCAACCAGGGACCGAACCCGCAGCCCAGGCATGTGACCTGACTGGGGATCAAACCGCTTTGAGGACAGTGCCCGACCCACAGAGCCCCACTGGTCCAGAGAGATGCTACTTCCAAACAAGCTCGCGTTCACAGGCACTGGGGGTTAGAACTTGAACACGCCTCTTGGGGAACACAATTCAATCCACAGCAGCTGGGGATGCAGCTGAGGAGGGTGAGGAAGATGGGGGCACCAGGTAGGGCGGGTGCGGACACCCGAATTAACTCCCTGTGAAGGGTGTGGAGGAGCGAGCCATTTGGGCGAAGGGGACAGAAAGTGCAAAGACCCGCGAGGCGGACCTGGGGAGGCATATCCGACACTGACCGGGCAGGCCGCGGTGGCTGAGGAAAAAGCAGTTGACATCACCGAGGTCACGTGGACAGGTCACAGAGCACTGCCTGGGGCACTCGGGCTTGTCTTCCAAGAGGGTTTTCAGCAGAGTGGCATGAGCTCCATTACTAGGTGGTTCTGGCAGCCCTTCCTTTTGGCAGGT